TTTTATAGAATAAATACAGATATTATTACAAAACTACTACACAAAAAAGCACTAGGCCTAGGTAGTTTTACAGGGGAATTCTAGCAAACCTTCAACAACCAGATAGTTTGAATCCTCCATAAAATATTTCAGAGTATTGAAAAGGAAGGGCCGGGTACAGTGACAGGCCTGTAATCTCACCACTTTGGGAGGCCAAGGCAGGTGGATCATGAGGTCAGGAGTTCAAGACCAGCCAGGCCAACATGGTGAAACCCCATCTCTACTAAAAATACAAAAATTAGCTGGGCATGGTGGTGGGTGCCTATAATCCCAGCTACGGGGGAGGCTGAGGCAGGGAATTCCTTGAACCTGGGAGGTGGAGATTGCAATGAGCTGAGATCATGCCACTGCACTCCAGCCTGGGCGACAGAGTGAGACTATGTCTCAAAGAAAAGGAAGAAAAATTTCAAACTCCCTGTGTGACGCAAGTATAACACTGGTACCTAAATCAGGAAAAGACAATCCAGAGAATAAAACTGCCAACAAATATAGCTTCAAGATTAATGATAAAAGATAATAAAATATTACCAAACAATACACTGTGACTGAGTGGGATTTATTCCAGGAAGGCAAGATTGGTTCAATATTAAGATATTTATTATGTTAAGCTCCTCTTGCATTGCTGTAAAGAAATAACAGAGACTAGGTAATTTATAAAGAAAAGATGTTTAATTGGCTCACAGTTCTGCAGGTATTATAGGAAGTATGGTGCTAGCATCTGTTCAGCCTACAGTGAAGCCTCAGGGAGTTTTCAATCATGGCAGAAGGACAAGGGGAAAGCCAGCATCTCACTTGGCGAGAGCAGGAGCAAGGTGTTGGGGAGTTGCCACACAATTTTAAATAACCAGATCTCATGAGAACTCAGTATCTTGAGGACCGCGCCCAGAGGATGATGCTAGATCATTCAAGAGAAATCCACCCTATGATCCAGTCACCTCCCACCAGGCCCCCATTTGCAACACGGGAGCTTACAATTCAGCATGAGATTTGGCATGAAATAGATCCAAACCATATCATTTATTAATGTCCTATGTCATATCCAAGGGAAAAAAATGTCTCCACATTTGAAATACTTTCTTTTTTTTTTTTTTTGGTGGTGGGGTACGGAGTTTCGCTCTTGTTACCCAGGCTGGAGTGCAATGGCACAATCTCGGCTCGCCGCAACCTCCGCCTCCTGGGTTCAGGCAATTCTCCTGCCTCAGCCTCCTGAGTAGCTGGGATTACAGGCACACGCCACCATGCCCAGCTAATTTTTTGTATTTTTAGTAGAGACGGGGTTTCACCGTGTTGACCAGGATGGTCTCGATCTCTTGACCTCGTGATCCACCCGCCTCGGCCTCCCAAAGTGCTGGGATTACAGGCTTGAGCCACCGCGCCCGGCCCTTGAAATACTTTCTTAACATGATGAAATACATATACCTTAGTGTTAAAGCCAACATCTGTCTTATTTAATGAGAAAACACCATAGGCATTTCAACAAAGATCAGGAACAAGGCAAGGATGCCCACTATCTCCACTACTATTCAGCACTGTACTGTAGTAACTGTCTAAGACAAAACAACTAGAAGCATAAAATTGGTTAAAGAAGTAAAAGTATCTTTTTGCAAATAACATGGCAGTAAAGTTTGAAAATTCAGAAAAGTCAGTAATAAAACTAACTCAATAAAAGAACTCAATAAAGTAGGAGAAAATAAAATTAACAGAGAAAAATCAGATTTGCCACTTCTGACCAGGAAGAGTAAGAGATACTGGATTTACCTTCCCACTTGAAATAACAGAAAATAACAGACAAGAAATATAAAACAATGGCTTTCAAGATGCTGCACATCAGGCAACAAAACAGTGATGTATTCCTGAGAGACAGAAACAAGGTGAGTCCCATGATTGAGAGAGCATACTGGTTTGGGAGAGTTTTCAAGTCATGGTGCAAGAATGGGAAACCCAGGCTGAGAAGTGGACTCCTTGAGTTTAGGAGACAGAGCCTGAAGGTCTAAGAGGACCAAGATGACTAGAATTCTCAGGCCAGAGTACCAAGGAGGAGAGAACTGCATGGAGAAAAATCCTCAGAGATCTTCAGAAGTTTCTCCATGAGTTGACAGCAGAGTACTGATCAGCAAATGAATGAGGAAACTAACCAAAGCTGAACAATATATGGAATCAACCTAAATGTCTATCAGTGAATTAAGGCATAAAGAAAATGTGGTGTATATACACAACGAAATACTATTCTAGTAGTAATGGACACATTTCACACCCAGATTTGGTTTCTAAATACCGTTCTTCAATGAAAGGAACCAGGGCTTCTTAGACAAAAGGTTGGTATACTAGGGCTGGGGCAAGGAAAATACAAGATAAATATGGATCATCTTATGCCAGAAAATATTGAAGTGCCCATAAAAGGACAGGGGCATATCAAGAGAACACAGGTGGCTCAGTGCAGTGGCTCATGCCTATGATCCCAGCATTTTGGGAGGCCAAGGCAGACAGATCGCTTGAGCCCAGGAGTTCCAAGATCAGCCTGGGCAACATGGTGAAACCCCATCTCTACTAAAAATACAAAAATTAGGCATGGTGGCACACGCCTGTAGTTCCAACTACTTAGGGCGCTGAGGGAGGAGGATCACTTGAGCCTGGAAGGCAGAGGTTGCACTGAGCCAAGATGGAGCCACTATACTCCAGTCTGGGTGACAGAGTTTTATTTCTTATAAAAATAAAAAAAGAACACAGGAGCCAAACCTGAAGGAGCTCCTAATGGCCAAAGCTAGATCAATTTGAGAAACAGAATGATGATAGTACAGGATTGTAACCCATAGAATAAAATAAATACCCATAAGTCTGTGCCATTAAAAAAATAAATAGGCCGGGCATGGTGGCACACGCCTGTAATCTCAGCTACTCAGGAGGCTGAGGCAGGAAAATTGCATGAACCCAGGAAGCTGAGGTTGCAGTAAGCGAAGATTTGCATCACTGCTGCACTCCAGCCTGGATGACAAAGCAAGACTCCATCTCAATAAATAAATAGGAGAGAAGAGACAGCTCTTCCTCATAGAAGATTTCCAATTAAGAAATGTAGATGGAGTATGGACAAAATCACTATTAAGTAAATAATACAATATAAATGTTGCAGGCATAATCTACCAATAGATGCTAAAATGAGTGAGATAAGTTTTGAGGAGAAATAGGATATTGACACTTTCAAAGTATCTGCCGCCATGATATTTATCAATTATTAAGAAAAAAAATAGTAACTTTACAGTGGAGAATGCAGCAGACACCACTTGAACCAAGTGTGATCAAAGTTAACATCAAATACAAGACATACCAACATCACATACCCTCTGTATTATGTATGCCCAGTGATGCACTGAAAAGGACACATCACTTCTGTTGTTCTCCTGCCAAAAACATGTAACCTTAATCATGAGCAGACTTCAAAACCAAATGGAGAGACATTCTACAGAATAACTGACCAGACTTATTAAAAGCATCAGAATCATAAGGAAAGACTAACGAACTTTCACAGATTAGAAGAGACCAGTGAGACACAAAAGCTAAATGCAGTGTAAGATCCTGTAACAGAAAAAGACATTTGGGGTAAAACTAGTGAGATTTGAATAAGGTCTGTAGTTTAATATCGTATCTATGTTCATTTTCTAGTTTTGATCATTATACTATTATTTGTGACTTGTTACCATTAAGGGAAGCTGGGAGGGGGACATAGGAAATTTTTCTATAATATTTTTTCTAAGTATAAGATTATTTCCAAATAAAAAGTTAGCCAGGCATAGTGGCTCATGCCTGTAATCCCAGCACTTTGGGAGGCCGAGGTGGGTGGATCACTTGAGGCGAGGAATTCAAGACCAGCCTGGCCAACATGGTGAAAACCCATCTCCACTAAAAATACAAAAATTAACTGGGTATGGTGGCACACACCTGTAGTCCCAGCTACTGAGGAGGTTGAGGCATGACAGTCACTTGAACTCAGAAATGCAGAGGTTGTAGTAAGCCAAGCAGCACTGCACTCCAGCATGGGAGGCAGAGCGAGACTCTATCTCAAAAAATAAAAATTATGTAACATGTATAATAGTAAGAAGTCTAAAAAAAAGTTAAAGAAATAGCGCCATTGGTTTGAGACTATATATTGGTTAAATATAACCAACTGCTCTGAAGAAACAAAGAAAAGAGATATACTTGATGTCTGTTGATGACAAGCCAATTAATAGATTAGATCTGTAGTGGCATATCTGTTTCCTCTGGTTAGTTAATAGTAATTATCTCTAATATATTCTCTGGGCTCATTCAGAATGCTTTAAAAATCTAACTTGAAAATAAAAACAGTATTTTAAGGTTTTAATATTTCAGTAGTCTTCAATGATAGCAAGAATAAAGATTTAAAAATAAATAAAATTCTAATTTGAGAAATGATTTATCCACACAATTATGATAAAATCTGATGGGCATTAACTGGCTTACACAGCTTAACAACGAGAGATTGAAACTACTTGAATACATGGCTGGGTTTTTTTTACAAAAAATATTTCCCATGTTTCTAGATTATGAAAGAGGATCATTTCATTGGCTTGTGTCTACTATCCACCACATCCTTTCTGTGTAAATACACTTTACATAATACCTCTACAATAATCTGTGGGATGAATTTTTCTGATGTGCTGTTGATGTGTTAGAATTATAGTACATACCTCAGAGACATTTGATTCACAAATTACCAAATACAGCTAAAATCAAACTAACTTTTTTTTGAAGTATACTACATATACAGAAAAGCACACATAAGTATGCTTATAATGAAATTTGAATTTAATAAAGAATTAAATCTTAAGTGCATTATTCATTCTAAAATAGCAGGTTTGCTCAACTGGCAACATATACAGAAAGGAAAAGCTTCTATAGGCATAATTTTTGTATGCTTGTTAATTTAGTTTTGTTTTGATCTCTTTCAGGATGTGGTGGATACACACCCTGGTCTCACGTTCCTGAAAGATGCTCCAGAATTCCACTCTCGCTATATCACCACGGTAGGCTGAGTCATCTTTTTTCTTAATATAACTCCATAAGTCACCTTTTTATCACTGTCTACTATCCAGAATTTCAAATATCTGTGCAAAAGGTAACATGGACTATAATGATTGTTTTAAGTGAAAGGAAGGTAAAATGAAATTGAATTCATAATTTCTTCATTTTTACCTATTTTCCTTGTTTGTGCCTAATACTTACAATGTTAAAGTAATATATTCCTTTTGTCTGGTTTTATGAGGCATACCTTTTGCTGTGCTATGAATATTGATATCCATTTGATCTTTAGCATTTCCAAGTAAGACTGAAAAGAATTTTCAACAGCCTGTCCCTGTCCCAGAAAAAGATTGGTCTCTAGTACCTCAAAGTTAGACCTGGAAATGATAATGAGAAATAATTTGTGTGAACAATGTAAGAATTTAAAATATACAAGCCATATATAGTCAGCCCGATTAGAAAAAAAAAAAGAATTTAAAATAACAGTGATCATATTCCCATTTTGTGAGGAGCTCGCACTTCCTGTTTCTCAGGCACAGTCTCATTTGGTCTGTCCCAGATAGTGCAGGAATGATGAGTGAGTGCACACAGGCCCACAGGGCATGGAGTAGCCATTTCATGCACCCTGCGCTAGCTCCCACATTATCTTTGGGGACATTCCACAGACCAGCCCCAGGGCCATTCACAGACACATTCTTAAATGAGATGGCCCTTGCCTGTGGCTCAGATTCCTCAGCTAAACGGGGCAATCTCTTCTGAGGACCACCCGCCTATACTTAGGGTACAGTTTGTTGGCCAAGGATATGTGAGGTTCTGCCAAGTTACAAAATACTACTGTTTTCTTATCCTCCTGCAGAACTTTATTTTTCATTCAGTGCTTTTGCATTGGCTCTTTTGTCCTGCAAGAGTTGGGTTGGAAAAAGAAAAAATTTTGTAAGATTTTATTTGAGCCAGAAGGTGTCACTGTTATCTAAGACAATCTCAGAAGTTATTTTTTCCTGTTAACTGTGACTCTCTACTAAATTACCTCTACCACAATCAACCTGGCCTGTCGCCCTCATTTCAAACTTTGTTTATTTCTAATTGGCTCCCTGTTACCACCCTGATTGCCCTGTAGTCTAGCCTCCACAAAGCAAACAATTGTCCTTTAAAAAAATCACCCAGATCATGTCACTCCTCTGCTCAAACCTGCCAGTAGTTTCCTAGCTCATACAGAATAAAACCCAAAGTCCTTGCCAAAACTCTCCATTATCCTCCCACATCCTGGCAACCCCTGCTTTCTGATCTTATCTCCTACCTCCCACTCCTTTGCTTACTCTGCTTCAGCCACGATGAGCTGAGCGAACCAAACCCACTTCTGCCTCAGAGGCTTTGTTCTTCCTCTTTCCTTTGCTTGGAATCCTCTTCCTACAGATTTCCACATTGTCACTCCCCAATTTCATCCAGATACCTGTTCCCTTATTTAGTGAGGCTTTCCGTGATCACTCTCTGTTTTTGTAACCTTTCTTTCTCTACCCCTCCCACTTCACTCTGTTCCTTTTCCTGCTTTATTTTTCTTCTTAGCGCTAATCATCTGATATTTAATTTTTTGTTTGTTTATTGTCCATCTCCATCTCTGTAATATAAGCTCCAGGTGAGCAGGAACTTTGTCTATATCCTCAGTACCTGGAATAGTACCCTAGAATAGCAGAATACCTAGAATAGTACCCTGGAATAATACACACAGTCAATATGTACTGAGTGAATACATGAAATTATCCATGTTTAAGAATTCTAGGCCAGGCGCAGTGGCCCATGCCTGTAATCCCAGCACTTTGGAAGCCTGAGGCAGGCAGATTATTTGAGGCCAGACATTCAAGACCAGCTTGGCCAACGTGGTAAAACCCCATCTGTCCTAAAAATATAAAAGTTAGCCAGGCATGATGGTGCGCATCTGTACTCCCAGCTACTTGGGAGACTGAGACATGGGAATCACTTGAGCCCAGGAGGCAGAGGTTACCGTGAGCCGAGATTCTCACCACTGCACTCCAGCCTAGGAGGCAAAGCAAGACTCTGTCTCAAAAAAAAAAAAAAAAAAAAAAGTTCTACACCAGCTCTGGCTGCAATCCCAAAGGGAATTATTGAGTTCTGAATATTGACTGTTCAGAAAACACAGGACATATTAACACCATAATTTACACTCTTAAGAGTTGGAAAAGATGTTAGAAATAAGCTAGTCCAAACAAGTTGGAATTAAACTAGTCCAAAGTATTGGCATGTATTCTTAGAGATGTTAAAGAACAAAAAAGTAAAATGGAAATAAATTTTTTCTCTATGCTTTCTAGTTTGCTATTTCCTTTTTTTTTCTTTCATAATCTTAATGAACATGTAGTTTAATATTTTTTGAAGTACTTGGACATTCAGTGGTATTTGGTCATCCAGCAAGTGGTCCCCAGGAAGTTTTATATTTTAGACTGAAAAGCCATGAAACCATTTTGTTCACATATAATTCACATTTACTAATAAATAGTGCCATGTTAATAATAGTTGAACAAAATGAACTATACTGGTCAATAGGGTAGAGTTAATTATCTCTGCTGTAATATTTTCATGACATTTGCATATAACTTTACATTTGTTAAATTTACACTTTGTTAATAGTATTATGCTGCTTTATCTCCAATGCACAAAAGTGAATCTATTACTCAGAAATAGTCACTTGTGTAAAATACTTGTGATAAAATGATAATATGGCTACTCAAAACAGCACCATAACATAAATAGTAAATAAGACCTAATTGAGAACATTTCATGTGAATATGTACTGAGATAAGTGAATAACTGTCACTGTGATAAACTCACAAAAAGGGCAAATAAAAAGTATAAAAACAATATCTGGAAATAGAATTTTATTAGACTGGTTATCTGTTCTCCTCAGTGCCTTTTCTGTTATGAAACTTGGTCAAATAATGGCATGAAGTCATTGAAACCATTGCATTATTTCAGAGTACAGTGAGTTTTTCTAGAACAAATATAAAATAAGGCCTTCTTGTATGAAATTAATTTTGTTGTTAGACATAAAAGTGACCAAACTAAAAAGGCCATCATTCTCTACCCTGCTCATGGCAAAAACAGATAGCTTCACACTATTTCTAAGACACATATAAAGCCCAGCCTCAGAATTAATGACAACTGTCTCAGAAAAAGCAAAATTATTTTATCATGTGACCCTATTGAATGTTAACATAACCTTCATGGCATACAGTATAGAAGAACAATTATTATGTTTGCATGCTAGTGTTCCTTAGTTATTTCAGTTTGCATTTGGAAGAAACCACTGACACACAATATGATTCAAATATTAGGTTATGTGTAGATATATGATGAAGGAAAGTTAGAAAACTTTTGTTTTCTATGTATCATTGAAAATCTGTGTTACAGGAAAAGACTTTGTTTAGCTAATTTGTCAGTGTTTTTAGACTGGAAAAATAGACCACCAGCTATGTGTACAGCAAAGAAGGACATCAGTACCCAAAAAAGAGATTGAAACTAAAGTCAGTCTGTATTCTTATTTCCAAAAAGAGTTAGCAGTTGAGAAATAAGTCTTTGATATTGAATGAAAATGAAAATTAGAAATACCAGAAATCATCGCCCTTGAGTGCAGTTTTACATGCTGTGCAAAAATTGCCATTGAATAAAAGGTTTTGCCTATCCAAACCAACATATGCCAACTTTTGAGGAAAGAAGTGCTCACTTGAGTTTTTAAAATAAGCAATGAGATTTAAAATACGTCTTTATGACACTGGTGCTGGCAGTAAAGATATTTCTGTGGCTTGCTCCACTGCCTGTCTTAGTGTTATATTCAGTATCTTGATTGGCCTGAATCCACCACTGTAGGCTGAAATGCCAGGATTTTCCTTGTGGAGGCCAAGGTACTGATTTTCCTAGATGACTAAGCTATGGTGGAGACGGCTCACACTAAGAGCTTACTAACTCTTCCCCCGTGAAGACTTTTCCTCTTAACAGAGAAAAAAAATATTTTTATTAGATACATTTTTTAAAGTCCTAACTCTACAGAAGACCATGAAGAAATACTTATCTGAGCTGTGTTAACCAAAGAGTGAATTTGAAATCTGTTCACCACTCCTGCCAAGTGACAGCCAGGCTTCTAGCATTGGAGTTTGTTCTTCTGTATACATACATAGTAAAATTATTTGTAACTTCTATGTCTGTATTTAACTCATTTGTCAAAAACTGTATGACAGAGCCATCAAACATTTCCATTCCTGGTGACCTATATTTGTGAATTCGAGGTTTCCAATTCAATAGATACCAAGAAGAAAGGAAACTGACTTATGATTCAACTTGTATATCAAATTGACTAAAGACCCCTTAGTGAAAGATGGCCAAATTTCATTTATTTAACTAGTAGTAAATAGTTGTTCTAATTATGATTTATTTTTTAATTTTATTTGATATTTTAAATGGTGATGAATTTTATTTACTTAAAAGTGAGCAGTTAGAAAAACAATAGTGATTAATGTAGAGTCAGCAGCTACATGCTTTACCACTAGATGGTGCTCCTACCTCAACCATCTAAAGTGCTGAATCAGTGATGTGGAAACCAACAAATGTGCTGATGAAGTGTGGTTTTCCTTTTGCAACCAGGTTATTCAGAGAATATTCTACACAGAATAAGGAAATTTAGGCTGTGAAAAAATGGAATACAAATACATTGTTTTATAGTATTAGAAAAGTAGGTTAGCACAGGCTAAAAATAGGAAATGTCTAACAATCAAACTGCAGATTTTTAAAATTCTGTTAAAAAGAAGAGGAGATAAAATAAGCAAGAATGAATACAAATTATAAAGTTTTATAATTTTTAACACAGTAATTTCATAAATTACGTAAAGTATTTGAGTATATAAATTTTAGATAGAAAACTTATACTGTGAGATAAATTTACATTCAAAATCAAGAAATAAGACAAAAATCACCCAGGCATGGTGGCTCACACTTGTAATCACAGCACTTTGGGAGGCCGAGGCTGCGGATCACGAGATCGGGAGTTTGAAACCAGCCTGGCCAATATGGTAAAACCCTGTCTGTATTAAAAATACAAAAATTAGCCAGGCATGATGGCACACACCTATAATCCCAGCTACTCAGGAGGCTGAGGCAGAGAATTGCTTGAACCTGGGAGGTGGAGGTTGCAGTGAGCCGAGATCACCACTGCGCTCTAGCCTGGGTGACAGAGCAAGACTCCATCTCAAAAAAAAAAAAATCTTCAACAGAAAAATGTGGAGTAATTAATAATATGTATTGAAACTGACTTTAACTTGAGAGAGAGGAGACATGGAATTATGATAAGTGAAATTCTTAATGTTTATTTTCATACATAAAATTTCTGTGCTAAAAATCCTCCATCATTTTTATATAAACTTCCGCCAAGCTAGTGCTAAGAATGCAATATTGAGTAAGACATGTTCTCTGTCCTCAGTGTCCTCAGAGTCTGAGTGGTTGGGGCCAGTAAAGAAATTAGACACTGGCTAGTCCCAGCTCCCACCTAAGTCAGGAATCCTGTCAGCTTATTCGTAAATACTTGTGGTGAAAAGAAACTTCACAAAAACTCATTGCTTTATAGGGCTAATTTTAGGAAAGTCTTCCTTATATTGAAGCATTTCATTATAAATACATTTCTATCTAGCAGTTCTAATTCTTCCCTTTGGCGCAACACAGAACAAGTCAGCTTCTTCTTGCACCCAATAGCCACTCAGATCTTGATCACCTCTAAAATGTAGTCTTATTTTTTTCTCAAGATTAAACATTACTATATTAGTAGCATCTTTCACAATCATTTTGAATATAGTACACTTCCCTGTTTTGTGTTTTTTGCACATTTTATATGATTCTATCTATAAATAATAGAGAACAAGTACTGATATATATGAAATACTAATTAGAGAAATTAGAGACCTTTCTTGGGTTGGCATCCATCTGCTATGCAAAATTCTGAGTAGAGTTGTTCAAATATTTATGAAGCCAACTGTATTCTCTTAACACAAAGATAATACAAAAATCTTTGTTCCACAACTTTCAAACCTCATTATTTTATCAAGTAGTTATGGACAACCTGATATACAGAGAGCACCATATAAGATGCTGGAATACAAGTCAAGAAAGACCTGGTCTCTTAGTGTTTGGAGGTGATGATGGTCAGGTGCACCAGGGTTTAGAATAACCACAGGGACAGCTAGAGGAGGCTCAGGTGGCAGTGGGAGGAAAGAAGGCAGAACTCCAGTCAGTCCCTGTTCTGGGACCTCCTATGGAGTGTGGCACTTGAGCCCAATTCTGGAGGGTCAGAGGGGTTAGCCGTGATAGCAGGGGTGGGGTGGTGAAGGCTGGACAGCTGAAATCTAGACTTTCATCCTGATATTAGTTTTTTCCCTGTTCAGTTGAAGAACCACTCTTTCTGCTGAAGAATCCAGAAAAGAAAGGTGGTTTAGTCCCACATTAGACCTATTCTTGGGAAAGATATCCAAATATCTTGCCTCCTTTGTTCTTCTTTTTCAAAATAGCTTGAAAAAGAGATCTAATCTCTTCCATGATAAAACCACCAAAGATAAAGGATTTCTGTATTATTACACTACCAAAATAAAAGCAAAATGCACCCCCCCCCCCCCCCCCCAAAAAAAAAAGCTGCTTAAATTACTCTTCTTACCACTGCTTCCTTTAGGAGAAGAAAAGTAATCGGTGAAAGGGAAATGAAGTAGGTAGGAATGACTGCAGGTAAAATTGTTGAGGATACACTGTGACCTCCTACCTCCAGGTCTGCAGCTTCCATCTTCCTTCTCTGATCCTCTCCTACAGCACAGCACACACATCCTCAACCTAGACACATTTGCTGCTTATCTCTTCTCCCATTCTATCCAAGGTTTTCTCCAGAGTTGCAATTCTGCTGAACTCATTAAAACACCAGGTAATAACAAATATGTTCATGCCCAAATAAATGTTAGGATATAACTTATCCCAGATATATTTGAATTTCCATAGAGAGTCTTGAACACTCTTGGTCTCAAGTGAATAAGATGATAATAACCAGAATAAGGCCCTCTTAAATCATATCACCTTGATAGCCATCCTTCTGACCAGTTAATCATTAAGCCAACCCAGCAGATATTTCCCATCTCATATGCCTTCCCAAAACATTGAGCCCAGTAAGCATTACTTGAATCAGGCATTACTGTATAAATTAGAGGTAAACAAAAGAAGTGATGTGAAGGCAGCTGGGAAGTGAAGACTTGTGTGCAGAGGATCTTTTTTATTCTCAGAAGTGTAGAGGCAGATTTAGAAAATATAGATGTAGATTTAAGCATACAGTGCTGATTTTTACTAGGAATTACACTTAACATAATCAAAAAACTAAAAGTTAAATTGGTCCCAAGTATGTTCATAAGATGGCCTTTGAGAAAGTAGTGGAGATCTTTAATGTTTTTATTTGGTTTTATTTTCCTTTTGGAACCAGGTTATTCAGAGAATATTCTACACAGTCAACAGATCTTGGAGTGGAAAAATTACTTCGATGGAGATAAGAAAAAGCAACTTTTTGCAAGTATGCCTTTCATTAGAATTCATGTGTAATCAGCAATTTTATTTAACAAATACTTGAGTGCTTACTCTGTTCAAAGCACTGTCAGTACTTAATAGTTATTAAACAGTTATCAAATACCTCTCCTGGGACACTGGAATGTTTTGGGTGAAGGGGTAAAAATGAAGAGAATAATAAGGGATCTCTGCCTGCAGGCATGTACTCTGGAGCAAAAGAGAGAAATATAGAGACACCACACCTGACTTGATAAATTCCATAGACATGTATAAAAACATGTAGAGAAGGCTTCACAATAGATGAGCCTGGAGGGGTGGGCTGGGGCTAGGTTGGGAAGAGTCTTGGAAAGGCATTAGAAGATTTTGAAATTGATCTTTTTAGCAATGATTCTGTATCCAGCACCTGTTAGATAAAAGTACTAAAAATTCCTTTTAAGAAAGAATACATTTTATTCAATTATTTTATTCATTTTACCAAATGAGAGAGAAAGTATTGACCACTAGTGGGAGCCTTTTACCGAAGTAATTTTCATGCCTGATTAAGCTTCTATAAACATAAAAAAAAAATGAAATTGTTCACACTTGGGAGATAATGAAATGTTTTATTTTTATGAATCATGCTAAATGAAATTTAGGCTAATAATACAACCTTATTTACTCTTTACTTTTTCCTATCTTCATTTGAGACAGACAAAATAATGAAGACTTGGCAAAATTAGCAGTCCATGATGGATATACAAACTTTTTTTTATTCTAAAATGAACAGTCATCATCACAGTCAGTGTTGATATTTATTGAACACCTGATGCCTGCCTGGGCTCTCAGTAGGTAATATGGGATGGGTTAAAATGGCAGTAATTCCATAATACCTCAAGAGTAATAATAATAATCTCCCACTTTCCTGAAGCACATTACAGATTGTAGTTTCTTTATCATTTTTATAATTTATACTCTTTTTTTGTTTCTTTGTTTTTTGAGACAGAGTCTCGCTCTGTTGCTCAGGCTGGAGTGCAGTGGTGCAATCTCGGCTTACCACAACCTCCACCTCCCAAGCTCAAGTGATTTTCCTGCCTCAACCTCCCAAGTAGCTAGGACTATAGACGTGTGCCACCATGCCCGGCTAATTTTTGTATTTTTAGTAGAGCCGAGGTTTCACTGTGTTGGCCAAGCTGGTCTCAAACTCCTAACCTCATTATCCACCCGTCTCAGCCTCCCAAAGTGCTGGGATTAAGGTATGAGCCACCACACCCAGCCTAATCCATATTTTTTCTTTTTTTCTTTTTCGGCTTTTAAAATTAATCCATTTTTTTTAGCCAGTTGATAAAATTTGAGGCCCAAATAAATGATTTCTGTAAGATTACACACCAAGTGAGTTGCTGAACTGGAAAAAGAACTCAAGTGTTCTGCTTCCTAAAGCATGAATTATTTTCTCCTCCATTTCCTTCCCTGCCCTTCGCCTTAGTCTTCCTCTTGGTACATAAACAATACTCATAAGACATTCAAATAATATGAACACATCTAGAGTAATAAGTAAACAGAAGTCGCTATTTATTCTTCACTTACTATTTTACTCCGTTTCCCCAGAGGGGGACCCTTATCGTCTGTGGTTTTATTCTCTTGTAAATATATACAGGTAGTATATGGTTTTGTTTTGTATGGCTGCTATTTTGAGAGTTTTTAAAAATATATGGGTTCATACTATTCTGTTAACTTTGTTTTTTCATTTAACAGTGTCTCAGGGTTCTGTTTATTTCAATTTATATAAGTCTATCTCATTCTTTTACTGCATAATCAATTGCATGGCTAAAGTGTAATTAATTATACATTCCTCTGTTGGTGTTCAAATCATTTTCAGAGTTCCTCTATTACAATGATCCAGTAAACATCCTTGTTCCCTCCTCTTGTGTGTGTATGAGTAAGAATGTCTACAGAATAGACCACTGGAGGGAAAATCCTGAATCAAATAGTATGTGCATTTTTAATTTGATAGATTCTGCCAAGTTACCCTCCAAAAAGCCTGCGCTACTTTCACTTACTCAGCAACAAAAGTTGCTGTCTTCTTCATTTGATGCCAGTCCAGTGGGTAAAAATGATAGCTCTTTGCTTCTAAATATGTATTTTATTGTAAGTGTTCTGCTTCTTACGTATCAAAGGGCATTTTATAAAACAAAATATTATAAGCAAGTTTGGAAAACAGAAGAAAAACTATATTTTATCACCCTTATACAACTAGTATCATTTTTGTCTGTATTCATCTAGTCTCATTCATATGAATGTACGTATGTTTAGGACTTTACATTGTTCTTGGTGGGTACAATCTTCTATATTTTGTAAGTACCATGTCATGATTTTCAGTGTAAACTTTTTAATTGTTACTGGCTGCATAATCTTCTATTAAGCAGATTTACCATAACTTAATAATAATAATTTATGTTGTTTTTAATTTGCCAGAGCACTTTGGTTTACCAGTGTTTATATTTTAAAAAATAATTTTTTGTCAGAATACTAACATTTGCATTATGAAATAGTCCTCCTTGTTCCTTATGTTTTTTACCTTGCACTCTATATTATTTTTTGTTAAATTTAACCATGTATGTTTGTCCATCTTTTTTTTTTTTTAACCTTCATTATACTTTTTTAGATGTATCCCTTATAGATGCATATAGGTAGGTCTGTTTTGGGGGCATGGTTTTAATACTCAATCAAAAAACATTTTAATAGAGAGATGTAATTTACTTATCTTTATTGTGACTATTCATATATCTGATTTTATTTCTGCCATTTCATTTTGGTTTTTTAATAATTCTTATGTTTTCTGTGGTTTATTCTTCTAAGTCTTTCAATTCTGAAAATGTCTTTATCTGTGTACTTATATAATAATTTGGCTGACTAGAGAATTGTGGGTTCAATATCATTGATTCTGGTGTTTGCCCTAGGGGAATACAGTGAGTCAGGGAAGATCCAGGTTTACTTCCAGCTCTGAGCCCTGCATCTCTACCTGCCATGCCTATGCCAGGCCACCATGTATCATCTGTTGTATATATGAGTAACCTTTGTGATATATAAACTTGATTTTATTACAAAACCAAATCCTCTATGTAGATGCCTACTCCTCTTAATATTGCTCACATAACTTTGAAAGTTAAAAACTATTTGTTTCTGGCCAAGTAATTAAGACCGTGATCTAATTGTTCTGTGCATGCTAGTCTCTGACCTCTGACCAACATAGTCCCCAAGGTAATGGTACTTTCCTTCCCCTGCTTTTATATCCTCCACTGCATCCAGCCCTTCACTGAGCATATTACAGAGCTCAGTAAATTCTTATAGATAGATCAGTTGCTTAAAGATAGGATGAGGTTTCCTATTAAAAGGTTTCTGATTTGGTACCAGAAACAAAATGTTAAATTCAGTTTAAAACAGAAATTCACTAGACTCTGTACAGTGGCCAAAGCTGCTTTTTCATAATTTTTAAATTCTTCTTTTCATATCATTTCAGACCCTAGCACTTTTGGAAGAAGAGGAAGATATAAACCAAATTACAGATTACTTCTCCTATGAACATTTCTATGTTATTTATTGTAAATTCTGGGAACTAGATACTGATCATGACCTCTACATCAGCCAGGCTGATCTGTCTCGATACAATGATCAGGGTGAGTGATTCTGTAGATGCTAAGACTTAACCATTTTGAAGAGTTATATAAATCATCACTACTCATTAGGAGAAATTCCCATTTCCTAAATTCTAAACCTCATCAAGTCCTCTTTACAAGCCAGGAATTTTTAAGCGGGGATGAGTGAAGATAATATAATTTTTTTATTAAATTAATAAAAGGCCAGATGTAGGAGAAAGGAGTTTGGAGGTAAGTAAGCAGTCACAGTCTTAGTTTTGATAAAGTGATGAGTCTTTATGCTGGTGTGTATTTTCTGATGATGAGTTGAATAAGATCCACACCTGTGTAAATCTGTTTGAAAGATAGTATGTATGCACGTTTGTAAACCTTTCCACTTAACAATATTTCTATAAAAACCCAAGGATGAAAATAATGTTTCTAATTTGCCAAGTTTTGTTTTCAAGGATTCACAAAAACTTACTTTTGGAAATTTAGTTCCATATTGTCTCTGCAGATGAATTTTGTGTGCTTTCTTTTGTCAGAAAGCAATGACATAATACATGATAATCCCCTTTTTGCTTCATTTTGCCAGTGTGAAATCTAGAACCTATTGCCTACTGATTTAATATTCTTATTTTTTTGAGACAGGGTCTCACTTTGTCACCCAGGCTGGAATGCAGTAGCATGAACACAGCTCACTGTAGCCTTGACCTCCTGGGCTCAAGCCATCCTCCCACCTCAGCCCCTAAGTAGTTGGGACTACAGGCCCATGCCACCACACCTGGCTAATTTTTTTTGTATTTTTTGTAAAGATGATGGTATGGTTTGGCTATGTTCCCACCCATATCTCATCTTGAATTGTAGCTCCCATAATCCCCACCTGTTGTGGGAGGGACCCAGTGGCAGGTAATTGAATCATAGGGGTGGTCTTTCTCATGCAGTTCTCGTGATACTGCATAGGTCTCATGAGGTCTGATGGTTTTATAAAGGGGAGTTTCCCTGCACATGCTCTCTTGTCTGCCACCACGTAAGATGTGCCATTGCTTCTCCTTTGCCTTCTTCCATGATTGTGAGGCTTCCTCAGCCGTGTGGAACTGTGAGTCCATTAAACCTCTTTCCGTTATAAATTACCCAGTCTCAGGTATGTCTTTAGTAGCTGCATGAGAACAGTCTAATACAGTAAATTGGTACCAGTAGAGTAGGATGCTGCTTTAAAGATACCTATGTGGAAGTGACTTTGGAACTAGGTAAAAGGCAGAGGTTGGAACAGTTTGGAGGGCTCAGAAGAAGACATGAACATGTGGGAAACTTTGGAACTTCCTAGAGACTTGTAGAATGGCTTTGACCAAAATGCTGATAGTGATATGGACAGTAAAAATCCAGGCTTAAGCTCAGGTGGAGATGAGGAACTTCTTGGGAACTAGAGTAAAGGTCACTCTTGCCATGCAAAGAGACTGGTGGCATTTTGCCCCTGCCCTAGAGATCTGTGGAACTTTGAACTTGAGAGAGATGACTTGGGGTATCTGGTGGAAGAAATTCCTAAGTGGCAAAGCATTCGAGAGGTGACAGTGCATAAAAGTTTAGAAAATTTGCAGCCTGATGATGCAGTAGAAAATAAAAACCCATTTTCTGGGGAGAAATTCAAGCCCACTGCAGAAGTTTGCATAAATAACCAGGAGCCAAATGCTAATAACCAAGGCAATGGGGAAAATGTCTCCAGGGCATGTCAGAGACCTTCATGACAGCCCCTCCCATCATAGGCCTGGAGGCCTAGGAGAGAAAAATGGTTTTCTGGGCTGCCCAGAGCCCCCCTGCCCTATGCAGCCTCTGAATATGGTGTCCTGCATCCTAGCTGTTTCAGCTCTAGCCATGGCCAAAAGGGGCCAACGTTCGGCTCAGGCCATTGCTTGAGGGTGAAAACCCCAAGCCTTGGTGGCTTCTTTGGTGTTGGTCCTGTGGGTACACAGAAGTTGAGTATTGAGGTTTGGGAACCTCCACCTAGATTTCAGAGGTTGTATTAAAACACCTGGGTGTCCAGGCAGAAATTTGCTGCATGGGCAGAGCCCTCATGGAGAACCTCTGTTAGGGCAGTATGGAAGGGAAATGTGGGGTTGGAGCCTCCACACGGAGTCCTTACTGGGGCACCAACTAGTGAAGCTATAAGAGGGCCACCATCCTTCAGACCCCAGAATGGTAGATCCACTAACAGCTTGCACTATGTGCCTGGAAAAGCCACAGACACTCAATGCCAGCCCGTGAAAGCAGCCAGGAGGGGAGCTGTACCCTATAAAGCCACAGGAGTAGAGCTGTCCAAGACCATGGGAATCTACCTCTTGCATCAGTGTGCCCTGGATGTGAGACATAGAGTCAAAAAAGATCATTTTGGAACTTTAAGGTTTAATGACTGCACTATTGGATTTCAGAGTTTCATGGGGCCTGTTGCCACTTTGTTTTGGCTAATTTCTCCCATTGGGAACACATATATTTTAACCAATGCCCATATCCCCATTGTATCTAGGAAGTACCTAAGTTGCTTTTGATTTTACAGGTTCATAGGTGGAAGGGACTTGGGTTGTCTCAGATGAGACTTTGGACTGTGGACTTTTGAGTGAATGCTAAAATGAGTTAAGACTTTGGGAGGACTGTTGCGAAAACATGATTGGTTTTGAAATGTGAGGACCTGAGATTTGGGAGGAGCCATGGGTGGAACAATATAGTTTGGATGTGTTCCTACCCAAATTTCATCTTGAATTATAGCTCCCATAATCCCCATGTGTCATAGAAGGGACCCAGTAAGAGTTAACTGAATCATGGGGACAGGTCTTTCCTATGTTGCTCTCTGATAGTGAAGAAGTCTCATGAGAGCTGATGGTTGTATGAAGGGGAGTTCCCCTATACACATCCCTGCTGCCATGTAAGATGTGCCTTTGCTTCTTCTTTGCCTTTGGCCATGATTATGAGGGCTCCCCAGCTTCATGAAAATGTGAGTCCATTAAACCTCTTCCCTTTATAAATTACCAAGTCTCAGGTATGTCTTTATTAGCAGCATAAGAACAGACTAATGCAGATGAGGTTTTGCCATGTTGTCCAGGCTGGTCTCAAACTCCTGAGCTCAAGCAATCCATCTACCTCGGCCTCCCAAACTGCTAGTATTGCAGGCATGATCCACCATACCTGGCCTGACTTAATATTGTTAACTAAGCACCAAATACATTGATTCATTCTTCTCTCATAAGATTGTCCATGTTCTGTCCTTAAATGCTTTCTAATGTTGATTTTTAAATAATACTGTCATTTTTTAGATATAGCAGGGTATAAATGTTAAATAAATGTATTGAATTTTGTTTTTGTTTTTTGGTATGTCTGTTACTAATGGTATGCATCTTAAGAAAAAGCTAATCAGGCTGGTGGCAGTGGCTCATGCCTGTAATACCAAAACTTTAGGAGGCCAAGGCGAGTGGATCACTTGAACCCAAGAGTTCAAGACCAGCTTGGGCAACATGATGAAACCCTGTCTCTACAAAAAATACAAACATTAAAAAATAAATAATTGCTTTTAAATGACAAAATAAATTCAAAAATTCATCAACCTGTGGTGGCAAATGCCTGTAGTCCCAGCCGCTCAGGAGGCTGAGATGGGAGGATTGCCTGAACCTGAGGAAGTTGAGGACACAGTGAGCCATGATGGTGCTGCTGCACTCTAGCCTGAGCAACAGGGAGACCCTGTCTCAAAAAAAGAAAAAAAGAAAAGGCTTGTACATGATGTCAGGTTTCACAGAGCTTTGCATATTTAAGAAATAAGTTATTTAAGTTCTTGCTTTAAAATTCTCAGGTACTAAGCAGACATCGAGGGGAAATACTGAAATGTACTTATTGGTCAACGTTAGTATTGTTACCTCCCTTTTTCATGTAATCATAACCTTCTTGTCACCAGAATAACATAAAGATGAAGATATTCAGAGGGATGTCAGCTTTTTTAGCTATGCACCTTCCAGTTACCAATGAACACATTGTCTATACAACATGAGCCAGCCTCCAGAGGTCATGCACAACGCTGTGGCTCTAAAACTCCCTCTCTGGATGATATAACCATAATTTCTCATTAAATCCCCAAATACTGTATATACTCACATAGCAACTCACTAACTTCAGAAAAGCAGGTATCTAGGCCTGCATAAATGAAGGGGCCACTGAACACTACATAATTATCCACTCACCGGACTGTCCTTAATGAGACAACATGAAATAACATGATCTTCAATTTTAGGAAGCCAAATCTTCCCAAGCTAAAAAAAAAAATGCCTTTAAAAAAAAGATTTTGGCTTTGCAGTTAAATATCCTTGCCTTTCCTATATAACCCTCTTTTTTTCTATCTAGTACAAATTATCAACGCCATTATCCAATGTTCAACAAAATATAAAAGGTCTTTATATAAGCTTTGGTGTGTGGCCAGGCATGGCTGTACCAATACACATATTCTCAACTTTCTTTGGCCAAACTAATTTACCTTTATGCTGACTGTACCTAATTGTATGCAGAAGAATTTGATGCTGATAGCTACCAAGTCCCTAGTGACCTTATTGGTCCTGAAGTAGTTTTAGTCAGGATTTTTAACGAGTGTTCCCATTGCCTGGGGAACCTGTTAAAAGAAAGAACAGGTCTCTAGGTCGGTCTCGGTGTGTGTGTGTGTGTCTCTCTCTCTCTCTCTCTCTCTCTTTTCTCTCTCTCTCCCTGCCCCCCAACATGCTAACTTAAACTATAATTGTCTCTTTGAATAAAACTTCCTGATAGAATTTCTAAAAATATTATATCATGTTAAACCCTGGACTTTCATGGAATGGGAATGGAAGAAAAGTCTGTTTGTAGTGTGTTTTGAGTAGCTTTTAAAAAACTACTTGAAAGCGTTCTCCATTGTTTTAACTTTGTTTTATTTTACATTGTTTTAGGAACTTCCACAATCAGTTCCCTTTTGAATTTAATGTAAGGATAAAATTTGTTTTGTTTATAGGAAAATCGGTCTCATTGGATGAGATTAATACAAATCCTATACATTTTTGTCTTAGTTGTCAGGATTTTCAGACCTAACTTAGCATTAAGCTATATTAATACTTCCCAGATGTCAGCCACATTCATTTGCCTGTTATTTTTTAAAATTATTTTAAAATTATGCATAAATTAAAATGTACTTTCATCATGGACGATGGTTATGGTTTAGCTTGTAGCTAACAAAAAGCAAATTTATGAAAAGTATTGCCTTTATGGAGCATGATTCTAAACTAGCTTTGTAATTTTTTTTAAATCTACATTTAGCTTCATCAAACAGAATTATTGAAAGAATCTTCTCTGGGGCAGTAACAAGGTAAGAAAACGTTTAATTCTATGTTTAAAAATGAACTACAAGTAATACTGTAACCATCTCATTTTAGCAATGCTTCCTGAATAATTTGGCATTGCTACTAGACTAAATATTATCCTATAAATCATAGTTATGGCTTAATACAAGACAGTGATTCTTTTTAAAAAAATAATTTCAACTTTTCTGATTCAGGAAATACATGTACAGGTCTGTCACATGGGAACAATGTGTGATGATGAGGTTTGATGTATGGAGGATGCTGTCACACAGGCAGTGAGCACAACGCCCAACAGGCAGTCCCTCAGCCCTCACTCTGCTCACTCCCTACCCACTTCAGCAGACCCCAGTGTCCATTGCTCCCATCTTTATACCCATGTGTACTCAATGTTAGCTTCCACTTACAAGTGAGAACACATGGTATTTGGTTTTCTGTTCCTGTGTTAATTCGCTTAGGACAGTGGCCTCCAGCTGCCTCCATGTTGTTGCAGGGACATGATTTCATAATTTTTATGGCTGCATAGTATTCAGTGGTATATAGGTACCACATTTTCTTTATCCAGTCTACTGTCGATAGGCATCTAGGTTGATTCCGTGTCTTTGCTGTTGTGAATAGTGCTGGATAAAACATACAAGTGCATGTATATTTTTGGTAGAATGATTTATTTTCCTTTGGGTATATACCCAGTAATGGGATTGCTGGGTCGAATAGTAGTTCTGTTTTAAGTTCTTTGAGAAATCAGCTGCTCTCCACTGCAGCTGGACTCGTTTACATTTGCACCAATAGTGTATAAGCATTCCCTCTCTTCTCCACAGCCTCACCAGCATGTGTTATATTTGGACTTTTTAGTAATTGCCATTCTGATGTTCTGAGATGGTATTTTGTTGTGGTTTTTATTTGCATTTCTCTAATGATGACTGATGTTGAGATTGTTTCATGTTTGTTGGCTGCCTGTGTGTCTTCTGAGAAGTGTCTGTTCATGTCCTTTGCCCATTTTTAAATGCGGTTGTTTTTTGCTTGTTGATTTAAGTTCCTTATAGATTCTGGATATTAGACCTCTGTTGGATACATAGTTTGAGAATATTTTCTCCAATTCTGTAGGTTATCTGTTAAATCTGCTGATAGTTTCTTTTGTTGTGCAAAAGCTCTTTAATTTGGTCCTAATCATCAATTTTTGTTTTTGTTGCAATTGCTTTTGAGGACTTAGCCATAAATTATTTGCCTAGGCTGATGTCAAGAAGGGTATTTCCTAGGTTTTCTTCTAGGATTGTTATAGTTTGAGGTCTAACATTTAATTATTTAATCCATTGTTAATTAATTTTTTTATATGGTGAAAAGTAAGGGTCTCCTTTCATTCTTCTGCATATAGCTAACCAGTTATCCCAGCACTGTTTTATTGAATAGGGAGTCGTCTTTTCATTGTTTTTGTCGACTTTGTCAAATATCACATGCTTGTAGGTGTGCAGCTTTATTTCTGGGCTCTCTATTCTGTTCCATTGATCTATGTGTCTGTTTTTGTACCCGTACCATGCTGTTTGGGTTACAGTAGCCTTATAGTGTAGTTTGAAGTCAAGTGCTGTGATACCTCTGGCTTGTTTTTGCTTTAGCTATTTGGGCTTTGTTTTTGGTTCCATATGAATTTTTGAATAGTCCCCCCGCCCCACAAAAAAAAAAAAAAAAAAAAAAAAACTTCTCTGTGAAAAATGATGTTAGCTTAATAAGTATAGCATTGAATCTGTAAGATTGCCTTGGGCAGTATGGCTATTTTAACGATGTTGATTCTTCCTATCCATGACCATGGAATGTTTTTCCATTGGTTTGCGTGATCTCTGATTTCTTTCAGCAGAGTGTTGTAGTCCTCCCTGTAGAGATTTTTCACCTTCTTGATTAGCCATACTCCTAGGTATTTTATTTTGTGTGTGTGTGTGTGTGTGTGTGTGTGTGGTTATTGTAAATGGGATTGCATTCTTGATTTGGCTCTCAGCTTGAATGCTATTGGTGTATAGAAATGTTACTGATTTTTATATGTTGATTTTGTATCCCGAAACTTTAATAAAATTGTTATTAGTTCTGAAAGCCTTTTGGCATAGTTTTCAGGCTTTTCTAGGTGTAGAATCATGTGGTCAGCAAAGAGAGATAATTTGACTTTTCCTATTTGGATGCATTTTATTTCTTTCTCTTGCCTGATTGCTCTGGCTAAGACTGTGTTGAATAGAGTAGTGAGAGTGGGCATCCTTGTCTTGTTCTTAAGGGGATTGTTTCTGGCTTTTGTCCTTTCAGTATAATGCTAGCTGTGTATTTGTCATAGATAGCTCTTATTATTTTGAAGCATCTCCCTTTTATGCCTAACATGAGTATTAATCCTATATATAAATACAGATAACAGTATTTTATCTCAGTGATTATTCACATTCGTATTAAAAATCAGATCTCTTTTCTTTGTATTTGCAAATGCCTTCTGGTTTTGCCCTCTAGGCCTTTGAAGATAAGAATGCTAGTTGCCCTTTATAAGGCATCTAGCATTCTAATTTTTTAAAAATCAACTGACATAATACTTTCTTAGCCTATCATTCTGATAAATTGTTCTGAGTAATTGCTCAGGAAATTTTATAACCATGTGTTTTCTTCAGGGGAAAAACAATACAGAAAGAGGGAAGAATGAGCTATGCAGATTTTGTTTGGTTTTTGATCTCTGAGGAAGACAAAAGGAATCCTACCAGGTATGACTTCTAAGTTTCCTTTGCCAAGATGCTAAACACATGCACAAAGCTTGAAAAAGTCGTGGTGCATATTATACCTAATGAAGCCAACTCAACCTGGCAATACTAAGGTGAATTAGACTTAGTCCCTGCCGTCTTAGAGCTCTCAGTCTTGGGAGATTGGTACTGGATCCATGTTCATGGCATATCAAGAGAAGTGCTGTTATCCACAGAAACAAAGGTGAAATGACATGTAAGCTGATGACAAGTAGGGCTAGTAAGCATTCGTGTGGAATATGGGAATAGATACTGTGAATTATTTGTTTTATCATCTTACTGGTTAAGTGGTAAACCTTTACCATTAGAGAGAGAAAGGAAATTGTGGATGACTAGTATATAAGAACACATTCTCATTCTGCCAGTTGAATCGTCTGTGCTTTTTCTTGGCACTCTCAGACACACCTTAACAGGATTTATGAATTCACACATTTCTTTCTTTCCATCTCTTGTTTAAGCAAAAAATTTAGATGCCTTACTTCTTATCCCTACTTTGTGTAACATAATGCACTGTAGTTTGTTTTCAGTACCAAGGGAAGGAGGGGTTATACTCTTTGATGGTGCTTGCAGGTATAACTAACTCAGCTATCTTAATATTGGTTTAAAAAGTTATCTAAATGTTGAATATGACCAGGTATAGTGGCTCACGTCTGTAATGCCAGAACTTTGGGAGGCCAGGGCAGGAGGATCACTTGAGGCCTGGAGTTTGAGACCAGCCTGGGCTCCATCTCTTCAGAAAATTTTTTAAATAGCTGGGAATGGTGATGCACACCTATAGTCCTAGCTACTCGAGAGGCTGCGGGAGGAGGGTTGCTTGAGGGCAGGAGTTTTTGAGGCTGTAGTGAGCTAGGATCATGCCATTATACTTCATCCTGGGTATCAGAGCAGGACACAATCTCTAAAAAAATAAATAAATATTGAATATATTGTTTAGAAGTTGTTGAAATAAAAATAAGCTCTTTCTTGAACAGCTTGTTAGATTATTTTTAAATAACTTTGTTTTCCATTTCAAAAGTAATAATTTACTTAGAAAACATGAATGAGCAGCAGAAAAATAAATTTTAATACCAGTAATTTTAATACCCAGAAAAAAAAAACTATTAAAAATTGGTATATATGGTAGTCTTTTTCTTTTTCTTTCTTTTTTTTTTTTTTTTTTAAGATGGAGTCTCACTTTGTCACCCAGGCTGGTGTGCAATGATGTGATCTCGGCTCACTGCAACCTCTGCCTCCTGGGTTCAAGTGATTCTCCTGCCTCAGCCTTCTGTGTAGTTGGGATTACAGGTGCACACCACCATGCCCAGCTAATTTTTGTATTTTTTTTAGTAGAGACAAGGTTTCACCATGTTGGTCAGGCTGGTCAGAAACTCCTGATGATCTGCCTGCCTCGGCCTCCCAAAGTGCTGGGATCACAGGCATGAGCCACCACACCCAGCCATAGTCTTTTTGATATACAGGCATAGTATCTCTTATCTGAAATTCTTGAATACAGAAGTGTTTCAGTTTTTTGATTTTTTTCAGATTTTGAACTATTTATGTTATACTTACCAGTTGAGCATCCCAAATCCAAAATCCAAAATGCTCCAGTGACTGTTTCCTTTGAGTATGAGTTTTGATTGTCTTGTTGGTACTTGAAAAGTTTTGGATTTTTGGCTGGGTGCAGTGGCTCACACCTGTAATTCCAGCACTTTGGGAGGCCAAAGCAGACAGATCACCTGAGGTCAGGAGTTCGAGACCAGCCTGGCCAACATGGTGAAACCCTGTCTCTACTAAAAATATAAAATATTATCTGGGCATGGTGGTACATGCCTATAATCCCAACTACATGAGAGTCTGAGGCAGGAGAATTGCTTGAACCCAGAAAGTATAGGTTGCAGTGAGCTGAGATTGCACCATTGCACTCCAGCTTGGGTGACGAGGAAAACTCCATCGCAAAAAAAAAAAAAAAAAAAATTAAAGATCTACATGAAATGAAGACATCTCATGTTCATGGATCAGAAGACATCCAATGTTCATGGATCATTGTTAAGATGGCAGTAATTCCCAAACTAATCTACAGATTCCTAACAAAATACTAGTTAGTTACTTTGAGTCAAAAGCTTTTTTTGTTTTTTGGGTTTTTTTCCCCCAGAAATGGAAAAGCTGAATCTTGAATTCCTATGGAAATACAAAGAAACCAGAGTAACCAAAACAATCCTGAAAAAGGACAGAAAAATTGTAGGACTCACACTTAGCTATTCCGAAATATTTCACTACAGAGCGAAAGTAAACAAGACTGTGTGGTACTTGTATAATGATGGACATAAAAATAAGTGAAACTGAATTGAGAATTCAGAAATATATCCTCACATTTATAGCTAATTTATTTTCAACAAGGATGCTGGATGCCAAGACAATCCAATGAGGGGAAAACAGTGTTTTTAATAAATAGTGCTGGGACAACTGGATATCATAACAAAATAATATTAGGTTGGTGCAAAAGTAATTGCAGTTTTTGCAATCTTTCAATGACAAAAAAACACAATAACTTTTGCACCAACCTTAATTTGCACCCCTAGTTCACATACTACAAAAATTAAGTTACATGGATCACAGACCAAAATGTAAGCGCTAATACTATAAAAATTTTAGAAGAAAATAATAGAGGAGTAAATTTTCACGACCTTGGTTAGCATTTTCTTAGATGTGATGCCAAAAGCCTAAGTATCAAAAGAAAAAGTCGATGAATTGGACTTCATCAAAATTATAAACTTTTGGCTGGGTGTGGTGACTCATGCCAGTAATCCCAGCATTTTGGGAGGCCAAAGCAGGTGGATTGCCCAAGCTCAGGAATTCAGTACCAGCCTAGGCAACATGGTGAAACCCCATCTCTACCAGAAATACAAAATTTGTCCAGGCATGGTGGCATGTGCCTGTGGTCCCAGCTACTTGGGAGGATGAGGTGGGAGGATCACTTGAGCCTGGGAGGCAGAGGTTGCACTGAGTTGAGATCACATCACTGTATTCCAGCCTGGGTGGCAGAGTGAGACCCCATCTCAAAAAAAAAAAAATTAAAACTTCTGTGCTTTAAAAGATATGATCAAGAAAGTAAAAAGACAACCCACAGCATGGCAAAAGATATTTGCAGATGATGTATCTGATAAGGAACTTGTATCTAGAATGTGTAAACAATACTTACAACTCAATAACAGACAGCCCAATGTAAAACGTGGACGAAGGATCTGAATAGATGTTTTTCCAAAGAAGATGTATACATAGCCAATAAGCACCTGAAAAGATGCTTGGCATCATTAGTCATCAGAGAAATGCAAATCAACACCACAGTGAGATACCGCTTCACACTAGGATAGTTATCAAAGAGTCAGATAATAACAGGTGCTGCCAAGAATGTGGAGAAATTGGAGCCCTCGTACATTACAAGTAGGAACGTAAAATGGTGCAGCCATTAAGAAAAGTCTGACATTTCCTCAAACAGTTAAACATAGAGTTACCATATAACCTAGCAATTCCACTCCTAGGTATACACCCAAAATATATGAAAATATATCTACACAAAAACTTATACACTCATTTTCATATAGCCAGAAGTTGGGAACAGCCCCAGAAAAACAAATGTGATATATTCATATAGCCGAGTATTATACAGCAGTAAACAGAAATGAAGTACTGATACATACTACACATGACTGGATCTTGAAAACCTTATGTGAAGTAAAAGATGCAAGTCACAAAACACCACATATTATATGAATTCATTTATATAAGTTGTCCAGAATAGGCAAATGTATAGAAACAGGAAATAGGTTAATGGTTGCCTAGGCCATGGAGAGCCTGTGGTGGAATAAGGAATGAGTGTTAATGGGTATGCAGTCTCTTTTTGTAGGTGATGAAACTGTCCCTATATTAATTGTAGTGATGATTATACAACTCTGTGAATGTTAAAAATCATTGAATAGTACATTTTCCACCCCCCGGTCCTTGATTCAGGAGAATAATACATTTTAAAAGGAACAATTATATGTGAAATATATTTCAGTAAGCCTATTTTAAAGAAAGACTTAAAATACTACAAAGTATGTTCTGTAAACAAAATGAAATTAATGTGGAAATTAATAAGAGAAAGACAACTGGAAAATCTCCACACGCTTGAGTATTAAACAGCACACTTCTAAATAATCCTTGGATTAAAAAGGATGACTCAAGGGGAATTAGATATTCACAAAGTGATAAAGGAATGCTACAAATAACGTATATACACAAAAATATGGTGACCTCAATGAAATGGACCAATTTCCTTTAAAGTCACAAATTAATAAAACTCTCCTAAGAAGAAATACATAACCTCAATAGTCAGATATCTATTAAAGAAAATTAAATTTATAGTTTAAAACCTCCTGAAAAAGAAATCTCCCAGCCCAGATAATTTCACTGTATTCTTATAGTCATTTGAAGAAGGAATAATACCAAATTCTGCACCACCTTTTTCAGAAAACAGGAAGGGGAAGAATAATTCCCAACTCATTTTGTAAAGCCAGCATTACCTTGGTAACAAAACCAGATAAACACCTACAAGAAAATAAAACTACAGACTGACATCCCTCTTGAATATAGACCCAAAATCATTAACAAAATACTAATAAGTCAAGCCTTAGTTCCTCAGACTTTCAGGTCCCTCTTCCAGAATCTGCAGATGTCCCAAGGGAAAAATGGTCCCAAATGCTAGGTGCCCCTCTCTGGATTTTTTTCTTCTATATCTGGATACCATAATGCTTCACTGCGCTGTTAATTCTCCAGCACCTTTGAACTGTTTCGTTTTTTTTTTTTTTTTCTATGTGGGGTCCCCTCAATTTCCTCAGTAGAAGGCTTGATCCCACTTAGGTAATCATTAGCAGAAGTGGAGCTCCTCAGATCAGCTTTTCACATCATGAGATCCGTAACTGGATTCTCATAAAATATTACCAACA